AGTACTTTATTGGATCAAATGTGATCCTATGAAATAACCAGGTTCTACTTACTGGATTATAGCTGTCTGAGCAGAAATATTCTCAAACCTATATACAGTACTGTCCTCACAGGTATTTATGTCACCTCACCTCCTTTTGTCAACCACCTAATCCTGTTTTGTTTTTGTTTTTTTGTCACATATTTTCCTCCTCCTGCATCCATACTGAGTTATTTGCTTCCTTACCACATATATCTCCACCTGCTTTGAAACTCAAGGCAGCTCACTTACATTAAAACATCTAAAGTCACAACAAAAGGCAATAATGAAAACATCATAATTTAAACAGAAGAGATTAAAAGAATTGACCCCATGCCAGCTAATGCTCAACCTCAAAGGTGTGTTGAAACATCCAAATCTTTGTGGCTTTCTTAAACATTAATAGCATCAGGATCTTTAGCACGGATGGGGCTGATCCAGAGCAGCAGCCATCCTCTGTCTCCACGTTCCCATCTCTCTGACTTCTTTCAAGAAGGGACCCTCCTGGGTGACTTGAACAGGATGGCCAGATTCCATATAGAGGAGATGGTCCCTCAAGTATCCCAAATTCAAGGCATGTAGGCTTCATGTGTTATTATCAGCATTGGATCTTACTGTGAGCCAAAGTTTTACTGCTAAAGTGGCTCTCAATCACCAGTATGCAGGTTCCTACATTCTGCACCAACTGTAGTTTCTGAGTAGTCCTCAAGGGCAGCCCTAAGTAAAACATACTGCAGTACCCTAATTGCAAGGTAATGAGTATGTAAGTTGCTAAGGCCTCCCATTCTAAAAAGGGCTGTAACTGCAAGATATGTCAAAGTGGGGTGAAGTCACCCTTGGCCAGAGCCTTAATCTGCTGCTCTGGTAGGAGTTGTGAGTTCAATTCCCAAACTGTGGACCTGTTACTTCAGGACAAATGCTACTGCAGAGTAAGTATAAAAACTAGCAGCAAACCAGCTGGTTTCTGTACAGACAACCCCTTTGTTTGCTGGAATGTAATCTCTTATTACTCCCAGACGTCAAGAAGGACAGCCACAGCATCACCTACTCAGCCCTGTGTAGAAATATATCAATAGCCTCAACAGATCCACTACTGTCTCAACAACACTACGCACCCACCTGTGAGATGACTACCGTTTCCTTTTTCAGTGACCAGTTAGTAATATCCACTGCTGTGGCCTCACCTCTTTCCCCCCATGACTTGAGGGTGATGCGGTAAACCCAGGGAGCTACTGTTGCACCTTCCACTCAGGTTCTCCATAGGATTAGCACATTTGTGGCTTCACCTTAGACAGGTATGCCCTGCGTGCTAGCCTGACACTTCATTGTTTGGGGAACGTTTGAACGTAGGCCTTCTTAGGCCTAGACTGGCACACCATCCTCTCACGATTCCTCCGGTGCTGCTCCTTTCACATCTTTACTTCTAAATCCCTTCAGTATCCACCTCCGTGCTAATTCCCCTTCTCTTGCTTTGGGCTTAAGAGCCCTCTCGTCCCTGAGCCACTGATGCCATTGCTCAATCTCCAAAACCCACCAATGGATCAAAAGACAGTTCCCTCCTGCAATCTGCATTTCCCTAGACTAGACAAGTCCTGTTTTTCTTGCTGCCCATCGTGCTTAGACTATCCTAGAGCTGAAGGGCTGAAAAGAAGCCAGTTTACACACACGCAAAAGCTCTGTTGCTAAGGGAGTTGGGAGAACAAGCAGATACTGAGGCTTCGCTCAGGAAATCAATCAGATTGCCATTTTCAAGATATCATCAGTTACTTACATTGAGTTTGGCAGGACTTTGGACCACATAAGAACTTAGTTCTACACCATCCCAGTACCTGGTAAGGTCCTTCTCCAATTTTACACTTGATCTTTCTAGTCTTAGCATCGTTAAAGTACCTGTTCTTGCAATGTTAAAAGGCAGCCAATGGTACAGTGCATTTTGAGAAGGAAAAGACGTCATTGGAATCTTTTGCCTTAGAAATCACAGCAGATTCAGCCTCGACTATCCCCGCCCTCCCACTGTACAAACAAGGCATTATAAATGACGCAGATGGTGGGGCTATAAAATATTCTACAGTATTTTCCCAATACTGACTCCATGCAACTTATATACACAGCATTCTTAATGCATTTTATGTCCGTGAGCGTGTGTGTGCTACACTGCTTATGCCTTTTGTTCCTCTGCACCTAGCTTCCCACATTAATAAGGAAAGCCATACTTCTTTACATATTTATACAAGCCAATATGAAACATTTAACTCAATGTGGTATTGTTGCTTCACCTCCATGTAACAAAGCAACAGTATTTTGTGGTGCTTTCATCTATATTTAAAATGGGCTTGGAAATCAGCCTGTGATTTCAGGATAAATTCTACTCACAGGCCAGAATGCACATTCCATTTCTAGTGCATGGCTTCTGGCCCATGGTTAACTGAACCATTGTTTAATTTAGTTGCCTAACTTCGTACTGAGCCACACCGGTCAGTTCACCAACCTGCCTGAGCCATAAATCAGCCAAACACATTTAACTTAACATGTTCTGCAAACATAACCTAGAGATCTGGCCTGGATTCCAAAACTTCACTGTTTCTTGGCTCCAACAATTCACTCTTTCTAAATAGAAAGCCACTCCTGCCAGCACCACCACTACCTTTGCTTCCATATTGCGTGGAACCTCAACCCAGCCATGAAAAATGCTGAAACTTTCTGCTGATGCTGCCATAATACTAAGCCACCAGAGGCACATTTAGTCTGTCGCAATGACCAGGGCAGATGACATTGTTTTGATGCTTTCAGGTCACAAAGGATTGCCCCTTACAATCCTTAGCTACTTAAATAGGCTATTTCTTGCACATGAGGGTAAAGTGATATTTATGGTTCACCTACCTGTGGTTCAGGATATAAACCCCAGGTAGTAAACTCTAGTCACTGGGATCTTACCTGATATCAGTATACTGTAGATGATCACTGGCAGTAATGCCAACTGTGCTTTGTTTTTAAAATTGGTTAGATAGCATCACTGAAGCAATGAGTGTGAAACAGAGCAAACTCAGGGAGGCAGTGAAGGACAGGAAGGCCTGGTGTGATAGGGTTCATGAAGAGTCAGACACGACTTAATTCAACATACTCAGGAAAAGAACAGCTAATGGAAACCAACTATGGGAATCAGGGCCATTGTCACCTGTAGCCAATGGAAGAATAGTAGGGCAGTCTTAAGTCACTGATGAGCTCTCTATTTTTGAATTTCAAGGCTATTCAGTTTCAGTAAGCAATGTTAATGAGATTGTGGGAGATCTAGCTCTAAACTTTGGAAATGTTTGCTTCAGCAGCAGTAAAGCAACCAAATGACTGAAGGAAAAGCTCAGCATTGACAAGGCAACCTACTGAAGGCTCAGCATATACTTCAGTCTAAATAAAATGTGTTAGTGTGCTTTACTGTACAAATCCAGCTGTGATTTAAAAGAAACATGGTTTAGGGTTCAGCATTGTCTAAATCCAGCCCATTGTTGTTTAATAAACCATTAAGTATACCCAAGATCTTGAAAACATTGCTAACTATCCCACCAAACATTTCAAGTTTGTTTGGGGCTCACTGCCAGCTTTGAGTCTCAATGCATTATGGTATGAGAGAAAACGCCATCTGTTCTAGTCCATGCTTATTTCCAAAGTACTGAAGTTCAAACATGCCAATTTCCAATCCCTTCCTCCAATGTTCCAATTACAAACTAACACCTCATCTACCTTCTACCACAGATGTATTGCTCATTACAGAAGTATCTTCACATGGCCCATTACAAAACCTTCAGAGGACAGATTAGGTAAGATTGTACTGTATCCTTAGTCTTCCATGTATTACAGGATTATTTTCATATCAAGTTTACATATTTCAACATACCTAGATAATTCCAAGAATGTAAAAAAAAAATTACTTTCATTTGGGCAGTGCCTTTCTCCTTTAAACTGAACACATTTGACTACCAAAGACTGGTACAAAAGATGATAACTTAATGGTTTGGGAATAATGGGAAAATAAAAACCAAGCCAAGTTACAATTAATTCACATTTATTTACAGCAAGTGTTCAGGTTTATGAGTACACTTAAATGGCATTTCAGTTCAGCAACATTAAAGACAAAACATTAAAATGCTTTAAGCTAGCTGATATCTACAGAACACCTACTTTTAAACTTCAAATATAGTTTACTAATACCAAGGAACACAGTTTCATACTTTTAATTTATATTTAGGTGAATGAAGTTTTCCATTCATAAACCAGAATAGAAAACTGAAAGCATTTAAAACCTGTTGAATGCCAAAGTTAATGAACGTCAATCTGATAAAGGCTCAGTATAAAAGGGATTTTCTCAGCCTGTTAAGTTTGCTGCAAAGCTGCTTTCCACACATACCTGTTACAAAATCCCAAAGTTATTTCCCAGATGTGTATAGAGATGTAACTGCAACATATTCTACATTATTTTGAAACATGAGCTTTCAGAGTCAGACAAAAGGTTATCCATTGCTTTAAAATGACATTTGCATCTGGTAGTCATCATAATAAACAAGAGTTGTCTCAGACAACCAGTTTCAATCACTAGAAGTAAATGTAAAAATTAAGTGATTGAGAAGTTAGCAATAGTAAAACCTTCTGTGCCTAAACACTTGTCATAAAAATTTTCATAAATAAAAATATAGGAAAGACTAAAGAACTATATAGCATGGCATTTACTCACTCTGTTGTCAATTTAGAGAAGTAACATGTTCTATTTTTGTCAAAACAAAAAAATCACAATTCATGGATAATTTTTCCATCTTGAAAATAAGAAAAACTTAATGCCCAACTTTTCTTGCAGATCAGAAAAAGCTAACAAAAACAACACTATACTAGAATTACCTGCTATACCACTCCATATTTTATTTTTCAACTAAGAGTAGGCAATTCATCATTAGGGAAAATAGCAGAACACAAGGCTCAATAAATCACAATTGGTTTTAACGACAAGTACATCTGGTAGCTATCATATTTTCATATTCTTTATACACAATTGATCTATCAGCCTCTACCTTCAAGACACTCAGAGGACTGTATTCAGCAGGAATGCAGGAGGGTCTGGGGACAGAAGAATCCAGCTTTTCATATATGATGTTCTGAACCATTGCATGCACAGGAGAGCCATAGCGATGGCCAACTACCCTTGGACAGTCACCTTTGCAATAGTGAGGATTATATCTGTGTGGTGCAATTATCCATTTGTCCCATTTCAGTTGACTGAATTTCAACCAAAAATTGTGAAGTTCACATTCATTTTGGGGAAAAAGGAACTGTTTATAATACTGACTTAAATCATATATTGGAACTGGAGTGTTTTCCATTTTCCCATCTTCAGCTCTTCGGTGACGAGGTGCTCTTTTTCCCTGTTTAAGGCCTTTTCTGGCCTCTTCACTGGGATCTGTGAAAGGACCCTTTTTCAGACTAGACCATGCAAGGTTGCTCCTTCTGTCTTGGAGAAAATTCCACCTGTGATAAGCTTGCTCACTAGTGTCATTGAGGTACAGCAGAAGAGAAGGTGATACTAGTGCTATATTGAAATCATGTTTAGAGTTAGGAAACTGTTCATTTTTCAAGCAGGTGAAATTCACAGCCATATGGATATTTCTCTTGTTAGAAGCTATCAGAGGATGAAGAACAGTGGTCACATCGATCTCAATCCACTTGCGTCTAAGTTCCAAATGCGGATTGAAAACCACTGTGTGTGGAACATGGAGACACACTTGACCAGAGGCATCATGCTCTTGAATAACTAGATTACATGTACACGTAAGATTTGAAGATGTAGAAACAGACTTATCAGACGAGAAGAGTAAGACTGACTTGAGTAAATGCTCTAAGGTAGTAACGCAGTCCAAGTTGAAAAGCAGGTCTACTGAATGAAGATCTCCTGCAAAGGGATTGAAGAAAAAACATTTAAACAAAGTAGTCCTGCCCTCCCAGCTTGCTTCTATTAACCATGTAATCTTCACTACATTTACTTGGGAATGAGAGCAATTAATCTCAGACTTTCTGATTAGATATACATTTTTCCCCAGAGAATAGCAAGGAAGGCAGCCATTTTAGGGTAGCAGCCACTTGGAATGTTTTTTAAAGCATATCAAGATAAAGCTTTAGAGAAACAAACAAAATAGCAGTCACCACTATTGCCTTCTACCAAGAGAAGGTAATTTCCCAACTATAGCAAACTATATTTCTCTTATGCCATTTAAGGAAAGACCCCAAAAATATACACCATTCCATTGTACACAGAAGAGCAAGCAAAAAGTGAAAAAATCCCTCAGTCCCATATTTAGATAGGAAAGGGACAAAAAAGAATTAGTTAACCCAGAGATCTCACATACCGTTTGCAGTGGGATGCTTGCATTCAGCATGTGGGGTGAAAAGCCGAACAGTGTTGTAGAGATGCCTTTTGTTGGCCTTTGGAATACCTTCCTTGGTAGCAAAGGTTTTGTAAAGCCTCTTCATGTATCTCAGGGCTCTAGAATCCAGTTGTGGTCTTGGGATATCACTTTCCAACCCCTGGTGATTGTGACCGGACAGCAACTTGAAAAGAGGTGGCTGTGGGCCTTGGGTGCTTTCCTTGTCGAGGGGAGACAGCAATGTGGGAGATCTCTCAGAGGCCTGCCCCACTGAGAGCAGTAATGGCTGAGAACCGCCTTCATCCCTCAAACTGGGGGAACACAGGACTCCAAGAAAGAAGAGACTGCTCAAACAGAAACAAATAAATAGTCCCCCCAAAATCTTCATGATGAGCCTTAGTCAGGCAAAATAACCATCACCCCCATGACACATCAAGCCCTAAAAAAAGGAGCCGCTACTTCTAGCCTCTTAAATAAATTCCAGCTGCATTAAGAAAGCTGTTTGCCTCTAATTAGACATTAAGGAAGGACACACACCTGATGATGTCACCCCATTTATGTTAGACTCCACCCCTTGCTCGTGAATAAGTTTAAGTAACGACTCCTTTTCTCCTGCAGTTTAATAGAGTTTAACCAGATTAACTAAAATAATTTGGAACATGTAGTGAAATTTATGCTGTAAACCTGTAACACTTTCCAGAAAGTAAGCCCATAGTTCAAAATAGGACTTGCTTGTGAAAAGAGATATTTAGACTTGTACTTAAGATTAGTTAGGCCTCATTCTGAAACTACAGCTGTGCTTAACTTTAGTGATGTATGGTAGCAACATTTAATTTGATAGTCCTGTGCATGTTAAAGACACACATTCACAGATGACTGCTTGTTTGGGATCTGCTTTTCACTCCATTGGTCTTTCAAGTGAAGATAAACATATACAGAATAATGAACTGTTAGAAGGTAGAAAAGGGCAATATTATTACAGTATTACTTGTTTTTGTTTTCAGGTAAGGTGAATAAGATGAACAGGCCCTTCTATTTTTTTTTTATCTCTACAATTTTAAGAATGATAATGACAATCCAGTGCAAAACAGATCTTTTTCTGCTTAAACCATAATTAATGTCAAGATGATTTCATGAGAGAGTTTTCCATGAGTAAAGTAGAGGAAAGTAGAAAAAAAAACAATTGCAGAAGCTGCTGCTTGTTCTTTTTAAAAAGAGTTTATGGTGGTTGGAAAAAGGAGGCAAAGAAATAGAACAAACAGCTTTCAAATCACTTGCTCCAGCTGAATTTTTTCAACCAATACTGAAGATTTCTAGCTGGAGTCCTTGGTAAATCTAGCAGGCAAGCCTAACTCCTGAGTAATGGTTTCTACCAAGCTCCAGTCTGTGCGTTAATGGAAAAGAGTAATCCAAAGATCTGAGCAGTTTCATAGTGCAGTGACTGGATAGAGAGATTGTTAGCTAGTGTGTTGTGTTACCAGTGGGTGTCTTTTGCTTCAAAACTGCATAATGTTTGGAAGGGTTCCTTCTTAGCTCCTTTGATGGAGGGGAGTTACAGCAAAACGATGAGCAAAAAAGATTCTACAAGCACCCAAAACAGCACATGTAGTGCTTTGGATCTCAAGAATGGATTCCAAATCACATTAAGGTTAATGTTACTTCCTTATAGTAGCATTAAATTGCTGTGGCTTTTAGCCTCAAAGGTACTGGGATTTTCTTACGCATCTATAGTTTGATTTCCTTATACGACAGTATTTTTCTATATTTACTCAGAAATACCTCACAAAGCATTCTGTTGTACTTACTCATCAATGGACATGCATCAAGTTGTTCTGAGGTTTTCTTTAGCTGTGTATCATTCTGCAGTTTGCTCTTTAAGTTTTTAGTATTTCATTTATATAATGTTATGCATTTGTATATTAGATGATTGTTTCTTTGGGTATTTGCACAGAAATGTAATAGTTAAGGATTCCTTCACATTGATCCAAACTCTTGGTGACTTTATTTATTAGACACATTTCTATCCCACAACAATAAAAACAAAACCAAAAAAACCTCTCTCAGTGGTGTAGAAATGTGGTATAGATAGATAGGTAGTTTTATTGGGAATAATATGGAACTGGTTGCCATTGCTCTCTTCCAGGATGTTTTTGTTTTTTGTTTTAATTTCCAATCTAGTTTCCAGCCCTGGGATTTCCTAGTGTGTGGGTTTGTGTAAGGGGAAATCAGTTGCGGCTGGCAGAAATTCCTTAAATAATAAGGCCATAGCTGTGTAGTCTGAGTTTCTGTCTATCTACTTAGAGGTAAGCCACTCTTCATTTAATGGATTTGTTCTCAGACTAGTCAGAGAACTAGTCACTAACATTTAAAAAATGTTCTTTTGTGATGTGGGGCTATTCAAAATAGGGGTCCTTTTCCTCCAAAAATGAGCAGCTTCTGTAGGCAGACCTCAGGGTTACGGTTTATTACATGAAAATTGTACAGTCTATCATCTATCTGTATTTATTTCTAAAATGCTCAGCATTCCTAGAGTACTTAATCCCAGGCATTGTTTAGGGCAAAGGTCTCTCTAGGAGAAGATCTAGAGAACAGCTCATAGACTGAGGACTTAGCTAATTTTGAGGGGTCCATCTGCTTGTAGTGGAGAGGGGAAGCAAAGCTAATTGTGGGTGATGACACCACCAAAACAAGTGCAATAACCACCATTTTTTTCCTCCCCTCTCCATCTTCATCTGGGTCCAGCAGGCAGACAAGAGAACACAGAGAGATTTGTCAGAATCCTAAACTGATAATTACAGAGACTTTGGAAATTAAGCCAAGGACTGCATGTCACTTTAGCCTTGAGAGAGCACGGGGACCAGAAAAAGTTTGTAACCTATTATAACAGATTAGGAAGACTACCATTTCTTTCAACTTCCATTCAGTTTTAGGAATCATACATAATCAAAGAAGTTTAGCTTCCTAAATAATCTTTATTTAAAGAATGATTTTTTACAGAGCTTTCTCTTGAGGTTTCTATCAAACCAAAGGAAGGACATTTGGTCCTGAACTAGCTCCTGGGTCTCCCAAGGGACCAAATTATTCTCAGGCTCTGTTTAAAAGAATGGGTCTAGAACATAGCTTTTCTGATCTGCAAATCTTTCAATAGGCGGCAGGCCTTTTCTGCTGTGGTGCCTGTGCTGTGGAATCTTCTCGCCCCCGAGGTGAGACTGGCCTCGTCATTATTGAGCTTCTGGAGGTCCCTTAAGACTTGATTATGCCAGCAGGCCTGGGGACTCCAGGGCACGGGGGAATCAGTGAGGTGGCTCCCTTATTTTTAACTTCCTTTTATTCTCTGTTTTATTTTGTTGTATATATATTTAATGTATTTTACTGCTAAAAGCTTTGCTGTACGCCCTCAGAGTCACCTGTGGTGAGATGGGTGGCTATATAAATTGATTTAATAAATAAAATAAATAAATAAAATAGTTCAACTACTTCTAATGGGTCTAGATTCCATCCTTTATTTTGCTCCACTCTAGTTACTGCAAGACTTCTTCTGCATTTCTTCCTCTGGATTTCTGCTTGATTTCTGTTGAAGTCCAGACATGAGAAGGATTACACTTTTTGTTTGTCTCTCGCATGAGTTCATTGTCTGATGAATCCATTATTTTCCTTAGATGTTTTCTGCTATGTCTCTGTTTTGTTACCAGTCCATCTGTTCCTCATATAACCCTTACCAGTATTGTCACATTGATGCTACTTTGTGCTGGACTCTGCCCTACTTTGAAGGGGGGATTAGACTCCCAATTTGGCCCCTGCTTATAAGTCTGGAAGACCTTGGCCTAACCAGTTGTAATATATTCCTTGTCTCTGCTGCTAATGTTTCCTAAATTCATCAAGAGATACCCAGTGATTCAAATAAACCCTCTCCATTTCTTTGTCTTAGTTAGTAAACAAGTTTTACCTTTTTGTCTTGTTAACTTTTGTGCTGGACTTAGGTTTGTAGATATTGTCTTTTGATGAAGAAACAGTGCTAGATATGGATTTGGTCTTGCAGCCTTTACTTTTCTCAATAATTTTTAGCTGATTTTATGGCTGGTTCTACTTTGTATTACACAGTGTTAAATATTATGATTAAAGTCTCATCCTAGCTTGCCACAGAAATCTTTCAACACTCTAATGTTATGAATACACTTTGTGCTTGATTTCTGCCAAAGAATTTCTGGAATCATTATTCTTTCTTCCCAGAAGCTGGTGCCATTCTGCATAGACAGCTCATGTCATCTTGAAATAATTGCATAATTTTCTTCAGTTCATGGTCCTTTGTTTCTTGCCACCTTGTAATAAAACAAATTTCAGATTCTGGGAAAAGTCATTTTCTTCTTATCATCGTTGTAATTCTAGCAGGATTTCCATGGACATCGGTAATTATGATGCCATATTGATGGATTTTATTTCAACTTCTACTGATCCCTCTACAGAAACTTCTGGTAAGGGTCATTCTCCTATGACTTCTTGTCACCTGTTAACTTGATCCTACAGTCTAGCCCTGTTTAATGTGATTTTTCTGTGTATTGTTCTCTTTAACAATGGTCAGCTTCTTGCCAGTCAGTATAACTTAGAGCAATATTTCTTAAACTTTTTTCTCTCAGGACGCCTTCCCACTTCTAAAAATTATTGAAGACCCCAAAATAGCTTTTTTTTGTATGGGTTATATTTATCAATATTTACCATATTAAAAATTAAAATTGATGCATTTGCTGCCGCTACCACTCCTCATGATTGTTTGATGGGATTTTAATATTGTATTATTTTTCAATATAATCTGGCAAATAATTTTGATTTTGTGGACCTCTGAGAAGGTCTTGGGGATTCCCAGGGGTCCTAGGATCACACTTTAAGACTGTCACACTGTGTCAATAGTGTCAATAGACACTGACTATGTCTATTGACACTATTGGCAGGCAAATTATTGGATTGTTGAGTAGGCATGTATGTATGTATGTATGTATGTATTTATTACATTTGCATGGCTGCCCATTTCAAGTACAGGTCTTTGAGCAGCTAACATTTGAAAACAGAATGACCTTTGTGGGAAGATCATGTTTGTTTGATGGTTCATCTATGTTGGCATTTTGTTTAATCCTGGCAGCAACTGGCTCAGTTATAAAGTAGAAACAATACCCTCTCCATTGTTTTCTTGACCTTACTTGCTAACTATACTCTGCTCTCCATTCATTTTTATGAGGAAACTTTAGACTAATTCTAATAGCCATGTTTTTCTGAATAAAAATGTGTTTCAATATTGTACTATTATAAGTAGGAACAGTTTCAGAATTTAACTACATACAGTAAATTGTTGGGAGGATAGAATCCATCTGTGGGGTGCTGCTGAGATGGCAAAGA